CAAGGCCCAACGAGACTGCCGATCGAAACTCGCAGTGTCTTTAAGTAGGGGAGCCATGCTTCTCGTTTTGTACCACGACATCCCTTACTGAAGGCTTTCACTCCCTCGGTATATCAACCGTCCGTCGTCCGCTCCCAAACCCACCCCAAGGCGACCAAACCCCAACACAAGTCATTCAAAATGCTCTCCTCCATCGCCACAGTCCTCCTCCTCCTCACCCCCGCCGCCCTCGCCCACGGAATTATCACATCCCCACCCGCGCGCTCACCCGGCACCGCTCTAGCCGCCGCCTGCGGCGCCAAAATCACCACCGCTCAAAAGCAAGACAACACCTCCTACGTCGAGCAGCTCACCAAACTCGCCACCAGCTCCACCGATTATAAGCCCGCGGCCTGCAACCTCTTCCTCTGCAAGGGCCTGCAATTCGCCGACAATGCGGCCAACGTGCAGTCATGGAAGGCTGGCGATGTCGTGCCGATTAAAATCAGCATGAGGATCCCGCATCTGGGCAGCGCGAATGTGAGTATCGTGGATACGAAGAGGAATAAAGTAGTCGGCGAGTTTTTGAAGAATTGGCCAAGTGGGTATAGTCCGGGGAAGACGGAGAGTGAAATTCCGATTGAGCAGCGCCAATTCAATATCACGGTGCCGCAGGGCCTGGAGACTACGTGTGCGAATGCGGGGGATTGTGTAAGTTTAATTTTCTTGATTTGACTTCTTGGGTGATGGGGAATGGGTTAGCTGACGGTGTTGGTATAGGTTCTGCAGTGGTGGTGGGTGTATGATGCTAGGCCTGTTATCATTGAGACTTTTGAGTCTTGCGTCGACTTTAAGGTCGCTAATACGGGGGTATCGTATCAGGGGCGCTCTTTTAGGGCGTGAGTATGGAGGTTGTGGGTAGAATATTGCGGGGTATAGAGGGTGAGATGGATTTTGAGGAACGTTGATATCCTTCCTCTACCTCTGCGATTTACGACTACACCGAGTGTTTCCTCTACTTGGAACAACGATCTCCAAAGATCCATACTGTATCCAAAGCCAAAGGGTTTTTTTTTTGTTTCGCTTTTTCCACTCTTGTTTTTTCTTTCGTCTCGGAATCTTGGGTGCCGGCATTTTGATTAGCGGAACCATGTGCATAGACGTCGATCAGTGTCGCGTAGATTATCCTTCATCTATTTTCAATTGCAATCCCGCGTGGCAATACCGTAAATCCCGCACCACCTCTTTTTCCAATCTTGATTTCAAAGCATCTCATGCAGGGAAATTATCCGACAGTATGTAAGGGTGAAAGCTTAGCTGACTGCTGAGAGCTGTCGTGTCGCTTGAGGTTGCCGAGTATCGTATGATAACATGAGGTCGGGTCGCAATTGTGATCAGAGTTTGTTCTTCTATAGAACAGTATAACAGATACTGTTAGGCGAGAGTATGGGGTTCTAACAGTGTGGTGAAACAAACGCACTCTTTCTGTAGCCTGGGTATGAAGAGTACATATGTTATTCGCATCCCAACTTAACTGAGCTCCTGAGAAATATCGCGGCTCCATCAGCAACGCACTCCAAGTGATTAAGTGATGGATATTCGATCCATTTACAACTAAGAGCGACATAAGGCGAAAGAAGCAACCCTCTATGTTTTTGTATTCTAAATTTCTAGCTAGCCAACCCAAACCGATGCAGTCCAATCGTAACAATCAAAAGCCCATTGACAATGAGTAGTAGTTCCACGCCTCCCAAGTGCTCGGGTATTGGTCCATAATCATCGGCAAGTATTTCTCAGACCATTCGCCGAAAGAGTCGCTTGTGAAGTGAGCCTTTCGATCTTCCCAATAAGCTGGTAACCAGCCCGATTGCTCCCAGTCGACGATTGCAACAACTTTAACTGGTTGCTCCAACGATAGGAGGATATTGCTGGGATGCAGATCTCCATGTGTGAACACTATTTCGCTATCATCTGGAAGGTCTTGGCGGTAGGGATCCGGTATATTCTCGGGATCAGGTACCCGCCGCAAGTATAGAGAGCTGAACCAGTCGTGGAATTCTTTGACAGAGGTGAACGGCCCGGCTTCAGCCATATATCGATCGCTGATGGCTCTGTCGTAGAGGCGGCCCCGCGTGATGCTACCTAAATATGAGATATAAGTATCAACGGTCATACCAAAGTGTCGAGGAGTATTAACTACCTACCGATGAACTTATCGCCCGGGGATTGTTTGAGCTGACGTACGTTGTTGAGGATGGTCCGGAGCTCGGAGCAAATGCGGACGCGGCCTTTTTCGTCGATCTCCGGCCACGCTTTCTAAAGTCCGGCCGCTTATTGCTTCCATATACAGAAAATTTTCCTTGCCATCAGTTCGCCAGCCATATATTTCAGGCACTAGTACAGCATTGTCCAGGTAGTGCCGAATGGCGTACAGAGCTTGACCTTCAGCGATTTTTATGTCGCTACCCCACTTGACAAATAGCCCTAGAGACTCAAAGACAGCAGGGCAGGGACGTGTATTGTAGTCATCCAACACTTGTCTCCTCTTATCCCCCCACTGAGTGCCAGCAAGATATTGAGCACGTGCGTGCGTGCGGACTTCATCCGGCGAGGGCAACTGATTGTGATGCTGGAAAAAAGAAGAGCTTCGGACATCGAAATTTGCTTCGTTCGGTGCTAGCAAAAGTATTAGTTAGACTAACTAGTCTACGATTTTCGCGAATGCTAAGAAGACGTACCTAACTGCGCATGGGATGAGCTCATGGCGAAATTTGAGGCTGAAGAGTCAGGCTTGACGAAATGATATGTGCAACCGCAGCCAATAATCGGAGCAGATTTTGAATCTCAGTATTTGATCATGACAACAAATCAACGCTTTGTTTGGGAGGAGGGAGAGCGAAGGAGGCGAAGGCGATGCGCCGAGCGGGATAGAAGTTTCGTGGCGGCCCGTGCCACTACGGTGGGCGATTGTTCTAAAGCTTACTCCTATCAACGCTAAGCCTAAGCCAGAAATAGGCCCCATAACTTGACGTTCAGCATCCATGAACTGATAACATGTAGTTAAAACATTTGATCCTATTAAATGTTCTACTATACAAACACGTCGCTTAAGCCTGCCAAAGCTTGTCCTCATGTATGTACTGTACAAGATCATTTTTGGGATTTTGAACCACTTCCTCAGGAAGGTCGAGCTACGGCGCAACAGAGCTGTGCCTCTAAAACTCAGGCGATACTTAAAACCCCACTAGGAGGAGGCACGGCGAGCGTTTAAGATAAGATGGAAGGACGGATATCCAATGAATCTAGGTTGTTAAGCATAACTATGAATAGTCATCCAGAAAGAGTTTAATTCCAAGATAATTGGCAACCTAAAATAACCAGTATTGTCCGGATAACTTCGCAAGGGTAGAATTACAGTCTCGGGGAGCGAATCATTTTCCTACCAAACGACATGAAAAATAAGGTTCTTCCGGCTGAGCTAAAGTCCACGCTGTGCCGCAGCGTTAAGCCGGCGCTTCCACCATGGTACTTTGCGACCATACGATCGCCATCTAATGGCTAGACTTCGGGAATATGGCGAGACCTAGGAGCACTTAGGCATATAAGAATCCTAACTTCTTTTACATTTTTGAATAACTTCATCATTATCCTCCTCCTCCGAACATTAAATTATCTATCATCTCATCTGTATCCTATCATAACGGCCCGTCTTCTATCTGCAAACATGGCATGAACGATCTTCCTGGTAACCTTTTTAAACGGTACCTCGAAGCCCTCTCATTGGGCGATCTGGATTCCCACAGCTAGGCAGCAAAATACCGGAAAGCTGCTTCATGTCACTGGAAACCCATCTACTAGATTCTTCCTGGAATTCAAGCGTAACTATGACCTCGTATCAACGACGCGTCGTTATGAAGTCGTCCCTTTGGCTTAAGTTCACGACTAATATGTTGCCGATACTCTAGGTGTGCAAGGAGCGGATACAACGGCTCGCGATCGTCTTGAATCCGCGGCTACTGTCGTGAAACCTCTAGCACGCAGCGCTAATCCATTCGATCCAGCGGTGAGACGGTCTCTAAACAACACTACTTTATCATTACTTACATTCATTACAGGCTCCAAATTGCTAGAATTAGATAGTCGACTTTGTTGAGCAACTAATTGCTGAGGGATACATTACCACCGATGCTTAGACAGTGCTGCAAAACACACCCAAACAATTCTAGAGGTCAAGGTGTCGAAGTCGGCGTACAATACCGTTTGCATTGCTAGTAAGTAGCCGCTTATATGTTGAAACAGCACTATGATGGCGTTCTAACTATGAGCTAAACAGACGTCAGACTGTAATGCCTAGCATCGCACTAGATTGGATGGGCGAATGATGGGCCGCTAGCTGGATCTAGCGACCTAGCTTCCGGCTAGAATATGTATGGGAACTTCGCATGAGTCATTAGATTATTTACTTGTAACGAAGACGCGTGTATGCAATTATTGTATGTCCCGTTCGCAGACTTTTTAAATTCTAGGCAATATTGAATCGTTACTTTACAACTAACCTTAACCTTGTGATTTACATGATAGAGAACATATTATGCATGCCTGTGACAGAGTTCATGAGCAGGGGTCATGATTAAGTCGAGAATTGCCCTGGTAAAAGGATGTAACATACTATAGAACTTACACTTAGATACTTTTAAGCAATAAAACAAGAGTTACTATTAGGATGATTATAGTTTAGCAATATTTCCGTGCCCTTATTCAGGCTACTGTCCCACTATCCCACCATTTAATGGCTCGGCTCGCAGAAGTGCCAAAGCTGGCGCTGGTGAATAAGACCCTTATTAGTCTTTTGCACCACCGACGCCATATGAAGACTCATAAATCAGCGCAATGATATTTTCTAATGAAAGGTTGCAATTCTCTTAACCTTTTTCTCTATTATTAAACTGTTTGAAGGGGGGAAAACAGGGTATATCTAGCAAATACGCGAGAAATTCTCTATCAAAGGAGACGCAGTAGAATCTCAGCTCGTGTAGTGGTTAGTACGCCGGTCTTATGTCTATCGCAGTCAGCGACAGGTATGCTGGTGACCTGAGTTCGATTCTCAGGCTGAGAAATGAATTTTTTGTGCCTTCAATTAGACGGGCGTTTGAAGCTTTCCTTTCCAAGCTTGTTTTAGCGTTTGCGCCTCTCGCATCGTGGATAGGCATCACGCACCCATATCACCTTGCCAGTAGAGACTTATCAACCGTACGATCGTAATAGCATACATTCATGTTCTAAATGAGCGTGGTAGAGCTTACATAAGCGTACAAAAAAGTACAGTATGAACCAAATACAAACTAGCAAAACAGAAGGTCCAGACACTAACAATCCCGCAAAATAACCAACACTAGGTAATAGAGAAAACCGTGCTATGAACGAGTATGGTGCTCATACGAGCTTTCAAAATACAGTGAGAACCAAATACACACTAGGAAAACAGAAGAGTAAGGAAGTGACTATCCCAAAGAACAGCCACTGCCAGGCAGTCGGACAAGATCGCCATCTTGGAAGACGTGCCATCGTTAAGTACACCAGCATCGCCTGGAAACTCAGACTTCTTGCCCTAATCGGTCCTTTTCTTGGCGTTAATAATACCTTGGAGTTCATCCTTTTCCTTTCTTTCATCATGAGCAGTTTTGGAGCCTTTGCAGTCAAAATCGCTCATAGATGTCTCAGCACCAGAGTAAAGGCAAATTTCGTAGAACTGGGTACGGCGACACACTCCCATCAGTTTGACCCAAAAATCGCATCTGCTGCACTCGCGCGTGTACACGGTACACATCGTGGACTGGTTGGAATCTTGAAATCGGAGAACGTGAAGTTGATGTGCTCTTCGTTGAGTGGTCGAGGAAACGTAAACGGTTGGAGGGGGAAAGGATGTTCGATAGTTTTAGGAAAGGTTGGTGCAGGCTCTGTATCTTGGTTGTTTGGGAAGCTGGCGTGGATGTTGTGGTGAAGGAAAAGAGGTGAAGAAGCAGCAGTATTTATATCTCTGGAGAGTATGACTCGTTCCTGAAAGATTGACTCATTTCTACGGGCGAGTCGGTGGGGAGTCATTCAGGACGTAGTACAGACTCAGCCGTCGGGCCTCGTACGATGATTGGGGCTCCGGTGACCTCGTAGACGACGTGCCGGTTCATATGGCACGGACACTTGTAGGGAGTCCCATACGCTTTCTTCAGTATAAGTGCTTAATCATGCCTTCGCACCATCATACGACTGCCCATAAGATAGAGTCACCGGTGGGTTTTTGCAATAGGCGGCCCTACATATTGACGGACAAAAGGTGATCAAGTCAAACAGAGGGACTATGCGAGCGGCGTTGGTGAAAATTTCATAGAGAAACAACGCGGACGCAAGTGGGAGAGGCTTTATCGTAGGGCTCTAAGAGGGTTGACTGCATTCTCTTGACCTTGGCGATGACACGAGACATACCTACGTTTACAATTCCCACTTACGGTTACAGAACAGGGTCCGGCTTCCAATCAGGATTTTTCTTCAAGTCCTCAACAGTTTCCTTGTACACATCATAGGTATGCTGACCCGCGTCGAAGTTCAGCACCCAGTCTTGGCGCGGTAGCTTCACGCTCTCGGGATTCTTCCTCACATAGTCGAAGTCGGCCTTGTGCCAGGCATCACGGTTCGTGACTCCCGTTCTCTGAGTCGCCAGAACTCTAGGATATCGGATCTTCTCAAAAGCGCGGATGGCTTCGGGTATGTTTTCTTTGCTACCGGCAAGCTCCAGACATACGGCTGCTGTAACGCCATCCTCCATAGATTGTGAGGCGCCTTGAATGGACGTCGGGAGAAAGGGGTGGGCAGCGTCACCGATGAGCGCGATGCGTCGTTTTGGAGATATCCAGGTGGGTAGGGGATCGCGGAATACAAGTTTCCAATCGACAAGACATTCTTCGGGTGTAGCGCGAATGATGGCGTGGCAGATGGGCGCCCAGTTCGGAATAGCTTTGACGGCATCCTCGACGTAGCCGGGAGCTGACCAGCTCTCTTCTACGTCGGCTTCATCCTACGAGGAATTGGTGATTGACTCTGGTGAGGAGGGGTAATGGAACGCACCTTGTGTGTCAAAACCCAGCTGCATGCTTCGCCGTGCTGTAACGTAGCAACTAAGAAGTGAACATCAGGGCCTAGCCAACCGACGTGAAGATCCTTCTTGGGATCCGCCAACCAAGCCGTCAGCGGATTCTTCTTTAGCCCTTCTGTGTTCATCCACGCTCGATACACGGCATACCCCGAGCTCTTTGGCTTATCTTCAAACCCCAGCACGATGGTGCGCGCCAGACTCCTCACGCCATCACCAGCGAGTACCACATCGCCCACGATCCTTTCCCCGCTCACCACCACTCCCGCCTCACTCTCAGTCTCAAAGTACTCTTGAACTTTACTACCTAGCCTAATCTCCACACCTTGCTCAACAGCGTGGTTCCATACCACTTCGTGAATCTCACCTCTGTGCCCGTTGAATCGCTTTCCCCAATCGGCTTCAGCGTCCCAGATCTGGCGACAGAGGAATTCATCATCGTAGGTGCGTAAATCGAGACCGGAACTGTGGTGGCAGATGGGATCGAGTTTCTCTTCTACACCCGGCCAGGAGCGGAATATGCGGCCGCTGTTTGAACCAAAGGAGATGATATCGCCGAATTGGCGGCGGGAAGTGTTGCCTTCAAAGAGAATGACGTTGAAGTTGCGCTTGCGGCATTCAATAGCGGTGGTCAGTCCTATGAAGAGGTGGTCAGGGGCTGTCCAAGTTGCAGTTGGTGGTACTCACCGGCAAAACCGGCGCCTACGACTAGGACTTTGAGAGGTTCGTCGTGGGAGCCCATTTCGCGAGAGCCGTTTTAATACTGCTGGAACTCTCAAAACGTAAGTCTCTCAAGGAGACGCAATCGAGACTATATTTGCGGTTACTCCCACGGCATTATTATACTACTAGGGCATTCTACTTACGGTAGGTAAATATGGACTAGGGCTGAGGTGTGCCGGGGTGGCCTTCCCTAGACTGCCCCGCCCCGCCCCGCCCCCGCACGACTGCCGAATGCCAAATGCCAGCCCACCGCAACCGCAACCGCAATGACGGTCGATTGCTCCCGTTGCATCCTTCATGTTTCTTTAAAAAGGGAAAAGAAACAGTTAAAATGGAAATCTTTTCTCCCAATTTTGAGTAAGACAGAACGGCCTCCATGTATCAACCCCACATGCCCAACTATCACCGCGGCAAACGGCCTCCACTGCCAGCAATCCTGCGCAACTGCCGAACGTCATCCACAACGCTACGGCCTTCCTAAACCGAAACCGAAAAATGCGTGCTCCTCTCTGACCTCGCCCTCTTCTCCTCCCTCCTCACAACCAGCTCCAGCATGGCCCTACAGTCAATCCTTTCACTACCCCTCTACGTGTGGCCATCGCTCCTCATTATCATCCCCGCCCTCACGCTCCTCCACGATGCCTGGGTCTGGTATCGAATGCCACCCGGCCCAACACCACTCCCCTTCGTCGGCAACAAGCACCAGCTCCCCAAATCGCAGCCGTGGATCCAGTTCCAGAAATGGTCGCACGTCTACGGGCCCATCTTCACGATATGGATCGGACGGAAACCGACCGTCGTCATATCAGATCCAGCCATTGCGGCGGAACTGATGGAGAAGCGGAGCACAAAGTACTCGTCGCGACCGCGGATGGTGGCCATGGGCGAGATACTGTGGGACGGTGCGAGTGTTCTAGTGCAACCTTATGGGAAGGAGTGGAGTGTCCGAAGGAAACTGCTACACCAAGCACTTACCCCAAAGGCGCTGAGGCTGTACAAGCCAGTACAGACTGCCGAGGCCTCGCGGTTGTGCTCGCAACTCCTTGAGGCGCCGGCGAAGTGGGAAAAATTGCTCGAGCGCTTCACATCCAGCATCGTCTTCTGTGTCGCGTACGGACACCGTATCGACTCCTTGAACGCTCAAGTCATCCACCAGCGCTTCAAGTTCATGCACTATTCTGCGTCATTGAACGTGCCCGGTAAATACATGGTCGAGTCGTTCCCATTCCTCAAGCACGTCCCCGATGTTCTTGCTCCCTGGAAAGCCGACATCAAATCTCATGGCAGAGAAGAGGCAGCTGCGAACATGGCTCTAGTCAATATCGTGCGATCTGACATTTCAAATGCCAAAACCCGAGGCGAAGATATCCCAGACTCGCTTTGCAAGTTACTCCTCGAGCTGCGAGAGAAAGAGCACATACCGCTCTCTGAACGTGACTTCTCCTTCATACCTGCGTCGCTCTTCGGTGCAGGCTCTGACACCACAGCGTCTACTCTCTGCACTGCTTTCTTAGCCTTGGTCACGCACCCGGAAACATTACGAGCCGCTCACGAGGAGCTAGACACAGTCATAGGATCGGGAAGATCACCCACCTTTGGTGATGAGAGCCAGCTGCCATATATCCGTGCTCTTGTGAAAGAGGTCCTTCGCTGGCGACCTGTCGCTGTACTCGGCGGCACTCCACACGCTTCCACTGAAGACGATCACTATGGGGGATTCTATATACCTTCCGGCACCACTATTCTCGGAAACTCTTGGGCCATCAATCTAAACGAAAACTATTACCCCAATCCACACCACTTCAACCCTACGCGCTTCCTCGCTACCTCCCTAGCCGAAAAGGCCAAACAGCCCACATTAAATGGCAGACCTCATCCCGCAAAAGCCGGGCATTCGTCATTTGGATGGGGACGTCGCATCTGCCCAGGTGCTGATCTCGCCGCGAACAGTCTGTTCATTGCTTTGGCTAAGATCTTGTGGGCTTTTGAAATCCTACCGCTGAAGGGCGTAAGTTATGACACTTTCGCTTACACGGAGGGTTTCAATATTCGGCCAAGGAAGTTCGACTGTGAGATTCATGTTAGGAGTGAGGCGCATAGAGCGATATTGCAGCGGGAGCTGAAGGAAGCTAAGGAAGTTCTGGAAAGGTTCACGCCGTTTAAGGAGTAGGTGTGCGTTAAATTTAACGATTGCGTCGCACTACAATGTCTACTTTTACTTTCGCAGTTCGCAGTGGGGTCTTGGAGCT